TTAGCACTGGACAGAATTATATACAACACTGTTTTTTTAATATTTCATTTTATTTTTCGATTTTCAAACAAAAAAAATAATCAACTCCTTACGCCAAATTTTAATTTATATAAAAAATAATACAATTATATTTTATTTATTAATAGCATATCATACTAAATATTTCGGTCAATAATTATTTTTACGAATTGTATACTATCTGGTTTCTTTTAAATTTCTATTATAATATACCTCTAATTTTTCTATAATCTTACGCAACTAAGAAATATTAAATTTATACAAAGTTTGCATAAATATTATATTGTCAGTTATGAATTTCAATATCACTAAAAATATAATATTTAATCTATGCACGTTAGTTATAAATGTCTATATCACTTTAAAAAAATAATATTAAATCTTAACATGTCAGTAATAAATGTCAATATCACTAAATATAAATAACAGGGTTCAATCCCACCTTGTTATTTTTAACACGGGAATAACGCAGGCGTCGTTTATGAAAATCACATCGACGCACCTCCGATTTTCATATCAGTTGTGTATGGCCGGCGCGAAATTTTATACAATTATTTCCATTATTTATACATATTTATTATAATTGGTTAACATCACTATTGTAAATTTTTTTATATCAATCAAGATTGTAACGAATTCTTATGCTATATATATTTTAACATCATAATAATTTGCAGAGTTGTTAAACGCGTTATCTTCTTTGGTAACTATAGCAATAGCGGCTACTTTTTTTGAAATTATTACTTAGCTACTTTAAAAAAATATAATGAAGGTAAGTATAAACATGAAAATTTAAAAATAATATCATAATTAATTATAATTTTTATGATTTATTATTTAATTTTGAAATTGAAATATATTTTCAATTTGTAATTTATATTTTCATTTGTGTTATAAACCTAAATCACGTGTTAATAATTTAAAATATCATCCCCTATGGATATCCAAATCGTTGAAAGTGATTCAGACAATGATATTAATGAAATGGAAGATACCAGGGAAGAAAATGTTCTTAATAGCTATAATACAAATTTCCTATTCTCTAGATTTGAAATTTTTTTAAAAATACGTGATACGTGATATAGAACGTTTACGCCCTCTAGTTGTGAATATAACAGAGCTACGTTAGGTTTTCCTCAATATCCATCTAACTGGACAAATTAAAAGGGGATAAAAATGAGGAGCCCTTCACACGTTGGGCAAGCCGCACGTACTTGTACGCGTAATAGTCCAAGGACTATTACTTAAACGTATATGGGCTGATGTGGAAAGGACAAAATAAGCACAGCCCACACCCATAAGATGCTTATATACATAATAGATTTTAAAGGCAAAGGGGGACCTAACTTTATTTATCGTTATCATAAATGTGATGAATTTCGAAAGGCCAAATATAAAAACCAAAACTGGTTTTAAATTTATTTGTTTAAAATATAAAAAAATATTTCCTCAAATCAATCCAGTAGCTATAACCTTAAGAAACCCCTAAAGGTAAATTGTCATATTTACATTCTAATAGTATTTATTTTATAAGATAAGACTGTTCAGGCCAATATTTTTTAAAAAATGGAGAAACATCTAAATAATTTTGGTATAGGCGACACTACATCCAAAAAGACTAATTCAATTCAAACCAAATTAATTAATACTACAAATGTCAATATTATTTATCAGAAATTGGCTGATAAAGTTATTGTTAATTTTATAATTATACTTTCTGATCGTCGCTCTAGAATTGGGGATGATAATATTGAAATGATTTTACTATTAAAACGCAACAAATTACCATAAATATTTATTTTCTTACATAAATTTTTATAATCATAACTAACTATTTTTTAATTTATAAATGTTTTATATATTTACTATATAATAGCATTATAAGCAAAAAATAAAACAAATTTGTTTCTAATTTTTTTTATAAAAAGTAGCTTAGAAAAGTAGCTCTTTTAAAAAATAGTAGCTAATAGCCCGTTACGTTTTTTGACAAATAGAGATAGCGGTAGCGCGCTACGTTTAAAAGTAGCGTTTAACAACTCTGATAATTTGACATCATTTTAAAATTCAATCAATCAAAAATTCCAAAAGTTATTATTTTACAATATAAAAACCGCTTATGCTTGGGTCATGGTTTACATATTCTGGTTACAGTTAATAGTATAAATGCCTTTTATCGAAAATCTTAATGGAATAAGAAAAATTATTACTACTACGAAACTACAGGATTGAAATCGAGTTTAAGGCAGACCAAAAATTGCTTAAGCACTGATACCCATTTCAAATTGGCCATTCCAATGATGATAACTACAACAGCACACATGAAAATGTTTAAACCAGTGACACAGTATATGGATATTTTAAATTTCTGAAAAGAAAAGAGGATCGAACTTCCTAGTCTTTCCACGCTAGCTAAAAAAAATCTTGTGTTCCAGCAATTAGCGTATTGATTGAAAGATTTGTCAACCACTCGGTTGATGTTGTATACAAGGAGATCATTATTATATCCGGAGAATTTAAATAAACTTATTGTTATATATAATTTACAAAATCGATTTTGAATTGATGAGTTTTCTCAAAAAATATCCATAGATATATTTAATGTAGTGTATATTTTGAAAAATTATTAGTAATTAAAAAAATGTTATTAAAATTTATAACGGTGGACCGATTTACCCTGTATGTTTACTGCGATTAAATATTGGCGCAACGTTGGCAGCCGATTAGCTTATTGAAACACACTAGCTGCTGATAATTTCGTCGGCCCACAGGTCTAGGGTTAATGATAACTATTTTATAGAATATTTTAATAGATCGAGACCCCCACCCGTCTCTGTGTAAGCCACTGAAATAAAGAAAAAAATTTAAATATGCCAAAAATGTCGATTCATTTTCTTTTCCAACCATTACCGTTTTGGTTAGCTTTTCAAAAAAATATTTTTTTGCGTTTATTATCCTGAAAATATTTTATAAGGACCATAAATATTGTTAAAATGAGAAATCAAAATCTTAGTTAAAAAAAATTGCTTCTCTATCATATATGCTAGGTGTTGGCTAGATATAAAAAATATGAAAAAGATAAGTTTTTGACTTTATAAAAATTAAATTTCTATATAAAGAAAAAAAGGGATTCATGTCAAGGCCAGGGTTTCCCCCCCCCCCTCAAATACATCCCTAAGAGGAGATGGATAATAACATTTCCATGGAAGATTTTATATCCCCTGTACCTAACATGATTTCCTTCTTTATTAATTTTAGTTCTTTTACATTTTCCCCAACAACAATAAAAAACATATCAAAACACTGAAATAAATATTTTTTTCTATGTATGCCATTTAATATAACTGAGAAATATTTAATATTTTTCTTGAAAAAAATCATGCAAATATCAATATCCTAGTCAAAATAAATTTCATTCTTTAAAATAATATAAAACTACAGGAAAAGAAGAAATATATGGCCTATAAGATTACTCAACAATATCATGCAAAATATTTACAAATTATTTGGTAATAATAATTTATTTAATCTCTGGGGTAGTTATATCATCATGGCTCAAAGACTGGCTGGAGACTTTTGAGCAGGATCAGACAACTTCTAAAAAATTTTTTAAAACCTTGCTGAGCTGGGATTTTACAATTTTTTTTAAAGCTTAAAATAGGCTGTCTTTTACAAAGGGATAGACAATTTATACAAAATTATTTTATGGACTTGGTAAAAATAATTACAAGTCTGGCTGAAATTTTTCTTCAAAGATTTCCATAGGCACCAACCTTTAATAGCTATATCTGTAAAACCTTCCAATTTATAAAATATAAAGGATCATAAATTCAATTAAAGTGGTGTTTAGCTTTCAAAAATATAAACCATAATCAAATGTAAACAACAGGTCTGCCAAGTCTGATAAATATAGGACTGGATTTGACAAACATTTTTTCATGTGGGGCCAGACTTCTTAATTTTACTATTTTAGTTTGGGATTGCTAGATTTGCACAAAACATTTCTTTTTTGAGCTGTACCTATAAAAACTTAAGACACGATTGCTTTTAAATTTCATTTAGATATTTGAAAATAAAATATTCAGATTAGAAAGATTAGACATAAAAAATAAGTCTGATTTAATTGATGGACCTCATATTAGAAAGAATTCATTGTTAATTTTTGTATAATTAAAATAAATCATCTAGCTTTATTAATCCATCTGCTCACTTTAATCAATTCAATAAAAAGTTAAGGATTTTCAAATAAATAAAATAATATAACTAATATTTAATAACATATCAGAAATAGAATTTGCAATTATGATATATTTCCAGCCATTTTTCGTGCGTGGTATCCAAGACATGCACATATTCCCATTATTGATATTGCCAATCCAATTAATAGAGCTAAAATATCGCCACCATCCCATAAGCCGGCAGTAACAATATCAATATTATAAATGAATAGAGTTAAGCTAAAAATTAACAACATTTTTATAATAAATATATAGGATCAGCAGCGAGCTTTGACCAATATACTCACATGTTTATTATACCTATTAAATGGCTGCTTTAAAATACATTAGGTAGTTTAGGTCTTGCGTTTAGGAGTAGAGAGTCATAATGGTTGAGTTGACCATGTTAAATGCACTATTATCGAAAAATAATAGATTCTTCTGATATTCTTGTAAATTTGGATACTACCCAAACTTCAGGATTGCTTGCTTTACCGTTTAATCACCATTGATATTGATTTTCAATACGAATATATTAAGATTATTTCTCTTAGTAATATATTATTCTGTCATTTTTTACATAGGCAGTTATGTTTGGAATAGCATTTGCAGTATTCAGCGTAATCAAGATATTTAGAGGCAACAGACAAAGCATTATATTTCTCAATTATTTTCCTTATCTCCTAATACTCTTAAGATTAAAGAAGTAATTAAATAAGGTTATTCGGTTATTCTATATTACTATGTTTCCGAATATTTTAGACGTTTTGTCACTCGTCACGATAGAAAAATTGCACTAATAAGATACGCCTACGGATAATAAAGCCACATTTATAATTAAATGTATGTATATTGCAAATTATATAAGAAATAATTGAAAATATCATATTTAGAATTTTTATGTGCTAAATTATGGAGAAAGTGCATAATTTAAACACTGAAGAAGCTCATGATAAAAACGAATTATCATCTGACAATGAGGATATTTTTGATGAAATGCCTAAAATAGATAATAAAGATAATATTCAAATTAATGGAAATAAACCTAATCAAATATTTGGTAATTTTAAATAATATTTCATTGTATAAAGTTTTTCTATAAATATTCTGTATTGATTAATTTTCAAAATATTGATTTGTTATTCATAATAAACATTTTAAAAAAAGTGTGAAAACAATATGATGTATAGGATTTATAAATTTATTTAAATGGCATTTTTAAAATTTTATATCACATGCCCATTAGCCTCAAAAAATTGCCTACACTAAGTTTTAATATTCTATTATCTTTTTTATAATCCATAAAATTAGTATGTAAATTTGTTTTTTATTTGAAATAACTGAACACTTGTTTTATTATTAAAACATAATTGGGTGAATAATTAAAGCCTCCAGTATATTTATGAAATGTTCAATATTTTTTATCAATATGTTTTAAAATTATTAATACTATAAAATATTTAGTCAGTATAAATAATAGAATATCAGTATTAAATAAATCGTTCAATATTTTTGATCAGTATAAAATATAATTTCTGGATAAAATTTTGATTTTGCTGTTTCTAAAATTTGTCACAATTGAGCCATTTAACACTGGCAATTGAATGTTCTAAATGACTGACTTATAACATAATGTTTTTAAATACTTTAAAATACTACTAAAATCTATGTTTAGTTAAATAAGTCTTATATTTGCTTATCCAATTAATATTAAAAGTTTAAATTAAGGATAATATTTATATATTATAAATTATTCTTAACTAATAATACAATGCTTTTTATAAAATAAGGAGGGATATTATTTTTTATAAAATTTTTTAAAATAATTTGAATGGAATATTTTAGATTTATGTTATAAGATTTAAAAAAAATATAAATTTTGAACTATCTTTATAATTAAGATAACTGAAATATTTTATTTGTAAGAAATAGAGATGCACCCTTGCCAATGAGCCTAACTAGGCAAATTTAAAAATTATAACAGATTTGGCAAAAATAATATTGGGCCAGGCCTGACATAAAATTTTAGCTAAGTTATTTATGGAAAAATTATAATGGGCTAGGCAAAAAATTTAACAGCAAGGCCAAGCAACTTGTGCAAAAATTCATAACTGGCCAGAATGTGTTGATCTATAATACTATAAAATTAAATTCCTTATAAAGTATATCTAAATCGTTTTTGAGGGAACACCACCTAGACTTGTTATTTTTTCCACTTTCGCTATGAAAGATTAAGGATCAGATATTTTTTAAAAAACTATCATCCAATAGGGAAAATCTGGACTTTGTTGGATGCCAGATCTTGGATCTGATTTGTGTTTTTAGTAAACTTGTTTAATTATATTTTTAATAGTTGTCATGAATCAATATGCTTTGAGATCTTTATATTTGTATGAAAGGAAATAGAACTTTGTATTCTTAAATATTAATAAGTACTCATCTTTTTACATTTTAATTTGGGACGATATTTTAGCCAATATTGAAATGGCCTAATTATAAATGTGTCCATCTCAGAATAGGTGTGAGATTGACAGTCAATTTTTTTATGCATCAACATCTTGGGATTTCAATATAACATCACAACATGTTATAAAACAAAATAATTTTAAGGAAGCGTTTAAGAATCAGACAATTTAAAATTTGTAACTGATCTAAAACATATGCTGATTTTATTTGCCACTACCATATTTGTTTGATAACATATTTTTGAGTGTTATCATCATTCCAAGATGTTTTGTATCAATTTTGAAATATACACATTTATAAAAAGCCCATTTTAATATTGGCAAATCGATGCACCCCTAGTAATTTTGCTTATATCATTAGGTATTTTACAATCACTAGACTAGATTGAAAAACAAATTTTTAGTATATTAAAAGTCTGTTTTTATATGGCATTTATGTTTTTTGATATTAAAAAAGAGAATTAATTTTAATTCTTTCTTGATGAATAATCCGGTTTATGATTTATGGGTAATTCATATGGAAGGGTTGAATTTAAGGCGTTAATTTAATTTTTAAATTTACAAGAATAAAAATTTTTCTGATGATAATGATTGATATAGGCAAAGCTTATGACTATATAGTGGTGTTAAACGCCTCGATTTCGTCAATTTTTAAGAGGCCTATATCACGATTTTAGTCAAAATATTTTTACATATGCTTCTAAGTTTCGCCAATGGACGGCCAAACCTTACCACCTACGGGCAAGATATACAAGCCTCCTGTAAAATCAGTTAAATCGTCGTTTAACAAAGTTGCTTAATATGACTAGTTAATTTCAAATTTTTTTCTTGTTGCGGACAATATAATATATTTTTAACTACTCAATCTTTTAAAATTGATTTTTTTTAAACATTACTAATAAATTAAATTTTTGCCCCATTTATTAATTCATTAATTATTATGGAATTATATATAAAATAAAAAATATTATATTAATTGTTAGGGATATTAATTTCCCTGGAAACTATAATTGAGGGAAATTTCCCGGGAAATTTGTGGAAAAAACGGGAAGTTTCCATTAAAAAATTATTTCTCAGGTCAGTATTGATTTTTTTCTTGTTATAATAAAAATATATGAACTATTAATACATTAAAACTAGTATGATATAATTTATTTAATGTTATCTTAGTTAAAAACGATTCCAGATCTCTAAAATCGAGCAATTTGTCATTTGCCTCGCAACATTAAATCTAGGATTCAGAAAATCAGTTTATAACATCTGATCCTTTATCAACAACTTGTCTTTAAAATTAAATCGTCAATATCTTGGATCAAGTATATGAGCAGGGTAATGTATGTCCCGGCAACAAAAATCTTTCCCATTTTTTTTATAATTTCGTGATATGAATAAATGGTTGAGGAACGTGAGATAAGTTTGATTTGTCCGCTTTGATTTCCTCTATTTGTGTTAAAATGACTTATAAAATTGTATAGATGTGCAAGAACATTCAAAAAGTCTAGTATCTATAAAAATATAGAGTATTGCCGCAAATTATCTTTATTTTTTAAAGACTGTTAATTATCATACTGTTCAAAGAGTTGGGTGGGCTATGAAACTTAAAGAAACAATCCTATTTTTATTTTAAGTGGTTGTTTTTCCTTAAATGTGTAAAAGAATGTTGGATTTTACATATTTTATAATAATTTGGGCTTTTGTTACTAAAATTTAAATTGGCAATATTTTATTTGCTAGATTCTTTTAAAAGCAGTCCATGAGGTGCAGACCAGTGCATTCCATAATTGGATATTTAATTCTCACAAATGTTCTGACATTCTTCATTACTTGCATTATTTATTATAATATTAATTTTTGTGTTTCCTATTTCTACAATTATTTTGAATTCACTAGATATAATATACTTTCCCCTTTGCATATTGGTCCCTGTTTCAATTACTTCATAGAATATGGGACTTGGGATTGCTATAATAAAACTTATAATACATTCCAATCTTACCACCTATCATTAAGAAGGGTCAAATTTTTATCTTATTTTTCGGTACTATATTTTTATTCCTTTCATATTCACTATTTAATAAATTTTTGCTGAAAAATCTTTTGGACATTTTAAAAGCTGTTTTTAAAGTTTGAAAAAATTGATTCACGCTTCATTATGAAAAATGAACAATTTAACATAAAAATGGTGTTGCGAAATTATCAATACATATTTCATTAAATTATTTTTCATAAATTAGTTGAATTAAATTAGAAGAGGAAGTTGGCCTTATCCTGTATATCTTTCTGATCGGTTTTTCTAAAATCTGCTCGATCATATGTTTTTTAAAAAGGCAAAATATTGAATCCGATTCGATATTAGATATCGTCACCGCCCTATTATTTTATAGATCCTTCAATATTCCCCTTTCTTTTTTAATTGGATTTGATGATGAAAGTCTTCCCCCCTCCCCCACCACTTTTTTAAAACTAGTAATTTATTACATTTATCTGATTCCTGAAGTTATGTTAGGATAAATTTATTTAATATATATTCAATTTCTATTTTCTTTGAGAATATATGATGCGATTAGAGCAAAATTTAATTTTAAAATAAAGATTCAAGACTCTTATCGATAATTTTACGAGGGAGATTAACACCTGTATTGATAACTTTTGTCTTTTTTTTTTAATCTTCACTCTTTAACAGAAAAAATTCTAAACAAAACTTTAAAAAAGCGAAAAATATTTATAAACAAATGAAATCTATCAAATTTCAAAGTTAAATTAATATAAAAAATTAAAATTTTATACTTAATCATGTAATTATAAAATAATTTTCATATTATACATTGAAAAATGGCGAAGTGCGTCGTTACTCTTTAATAGTGTCGAGCTACTGTCAACGGTATTTTTTAAGGCAATAGCGCGTTATTAGCTATCTTTAAAAAAAAATAGCGATGAAGGGTAAAAAAGGTGGATATGCGTTACCCTGCATTCATAATTTGCGGTAATTTGCGACTTAGTATGCAAAAATACAGCATATTTTGCATACATCACTACGAATTCGTGCTAGCTATAAATACAGGGTTAGGGTTGACAAAGGTTTAATTAAACTGCGAATGCTGCACGAAATTTTGAGGTAATTTATTTTGCGTTTTATTCCCTTAATAAATATAACGTTTGAGTGGTAAGATGGGAAAAAATAACGTGAAATTTTAATTTTATTCATATTTAAATATTAGCATCAGGGACCCGGAATAAAGGCATTTTTGTGAAATTGTTCCGTTCTAGCTTTCGGAACGTTTATAGAAAAAATCTAATCTATATATATTTTTTAAATCTACACATTTTAATTAATCTTTATTTAATCATTAAATGAATTATATATTTATTACATCAGAGCTATATTTTCTAAAAGATTAATATTTGTTTTTTGTAGTGTTTATAAATTTCTGGCTAAAAAAATTATGAAGGAAAATAAAAAGGACTTATAATATCCTCCTGTTTGGGTGGATTATTAATTTAATTTTAGAAAAAATAAATAAGAAATTTAATATAATTTTAGGAACGTACCGGGAAGGTTGCAGAATACACGTACCAGTTTCGTTTACGTTTCATAAATTTACCCATGGGTAATTCAATTCTGTTCCCTGTCATTATTAGTATATAAATCTCTTTTTTTTTTAAATATTAAAAGGTATCTTTAAAAAAATTATATAAAATTAAAATTGGCATTTTTGCTTCTAAAAAAATCATTCAATAATAAATACATGAAACTTCACACAAACATAGTTTAGCATATTTAAGAAACTACTGAAAAAAAAACCAGGTCAAAATATCTATATGTTTTTTTTGTATTAACAATTTAAAATCTCTTTGGCGTTCCTTTTTATGAAATGTAACTTGCAACTTTAGCTACTTTTCAAAATCCCCCCCCCCTCCTTTAATATAATGATATATTTATTATTTTAAATGATGAAATTTCAAAATAATACCTACACTTTGGTTATTCATAATTATTATACTAATAAAAAATACTATTAAAAAATTGACTGAAAATTTCGAATCATGGCCAATAATGCAATTTAATTGCTCTTTAATCATTCAGATACTTAAAAATAATATATAAATTCATTTTATTTACTATAGTTATGATCATATTTTAAATACCTCTTTATATATAAAAATTTGGTTCAGACAAAGTTTCACAATCAACAATACAATCATCATCGATAAAACAACCTGAAAAGTATGTTTTTATAAAAGATATTTATTATATAATAATAATAAAAATCGAAGGCCTGTCGAAGTCGAATTCTTGTTTAAAAAAAAGAGTTATTAAGCTCAGTCTGGCCTGATTTAAAAAATTTTGGAATTTTATTTCGTAAAATGTTTTAATGGAAGAACTTGAAAAATATAGTGGATACATATTGATCTATTATCTGATTTTCCAACTAGTTCTTTTATATACAGTTTTGTAATTTTTTTTTGAACCCGCCTGATGTGGGGCAACGCTTGCGAGTGCTTTTGTTAAAAATGTAATATGTTTTTAATTTAATAGGAGCATAGCACATTAAATCTTTAAGAGGTGAAAGGAATGTGTAGTCTTTCTTTACCCATTGCTCACATTAACAATAATAAATAGCAATTTTTTATCCTTTTTGTTAAAAAACGATTTTTTTTACCACTTAAACGTCTCCCCCACCACAATGAAACTTATAATATTTATTAATCCTTGCTTATTAATTTATAAAAGTTTGTTAAAAAAAATGATTACAGGAATTAGTCTTCGATTTTTAAAAACGACCCGATTAAGATTTTAGCCAAAATAATATTATGTAAACCTGGAGATTTTGTTCATAGATGGCAGATGGACCTGTATTTGCCAAATATTGAGGCTGACAATTTTCCACTTATTTAAAAAATATTTTATCAACGGTAATTTGGGAGGTTTTTTTTATCTCCCAACATAAAAAGGCCCCATAACTTATAAAAATGATTAGTTATTTAAAGATACTTTTAATTATATAAATACAGATGCATGACATAAAAATGTATCTAAATATAGATTCATATAAAGGGTCTAAAAAATCTGGATACAGATACCCTTATAAAAATATTTCGATTTCCCAGTTATTTTTTATGGATTAGGATATTTTTAACCCCCCCCCCCCTCCCCCCAACCGCTTCTCCATTTCACTTGGATAAGCAATCAAAACCACAAATATAAATAAAACTTAGATTATTAAAGCAATGAATATTAAAAATTACCATAATTTTGATTTATTATTTAAGTATCTTAATTATTTTTGATATCAATAAATGGATTTTGCAATTTTTTTTATATTACCTAAACCATTTTACATTTGAATTTAGGAGCAAACTTGTAACGGAATTAATCAACTATATATGGTAGAAAAATGTTCAACTTATGGGTTTTATGCCCTTAAATTTAAATGAACGCGACCATTCCATCCTAAATTTAATTACAAATTATATCTAAATTAGAAAAAATTTTACGTATATATATTTTTTTAAAATTATTTATTCCCACATTTTGTTGGGCCTCGAAATTTTAAAAAATAAATAACTATTATTGCCTAAATCTCTCAATTTATATCTCTCTTTCCGGTTCCAACTTTTCTTCTAAAAAAATCCCACCCAAACCTTTATTTATAACGGTTAGTATGTAAAAAATTATCGGTTCATTTCAGCTAATTGTAGAGGTTTATAAAGTTACTTAAGTTAATACATTGTTTATTTATAAAATAGATGAAATTAATTTATTTTTGTTATAAGAATCTATGAATAATATAATAAAAAATATATAAATATATTATTAATATATTTTTTAATATAAGTGGATTCATATTTGCTTGTTGTGCCGATACACAAATTTTAGCCCCGAAAAGGCTCTTTTGATAGAAACTTGTATTGCGGGAACCTTAAATAATATAAGAACAAGTTTTTTTGGATATTCAAATTTTTTTGATTCCCAATATATTAAAACTGATGATTATTTATACATCTTTTCAACACCTTCAGACGAATCAATAATATTTCTAATATTATGTTCTTTATGGACATTTGAAGGAACTTTTGGAGGAGTTAGGGGTAGATTGCAATATCTCCATTTCTAAGCTATCATTTTTCAGGGCCTATATATTTTAAATGAAAAACTATAATTAATAAATACGGACATAAGGCTAAATAAAAGATGTGGACCTGAATTCAAAATCCTATAAATAATATATAAAATTAAAACATTATAAATTTGGTCATTTTGAAATTTATATGGGAATAATGGCACTTCTATCAAACTACTCATGGGTAGGTGGTGATATTATACTTAAATTAATTAAATAAATGCAACTAACAAATTGGTTATTTAGATATTTTGCATACTAAAATAGAGAAAATAAAAATGCTCTAATACTATTTGAAGCAGTTAAAAGATTGTGGATTAATTTAAGTCATAGTGAAAAAATGAATACATACTTCTTATGGATATTAAACAAATATTTTAGTCATTTAATAATTATAAATAACGACGAGATATGGAAAAATATGTAATACACTACAAGGGAAAGAATGTAAAAAAAGTAAAATTTTATATTGGTTGAATTGAAACCGGTTACCAGTTTAACTTTTTTTATAAAGTTTTTTTTACCCCTTCAAAAAATAATTATATCGGTTACGGTTCTGATAATTATAACGGTTTAGCGGTTCATTCTGGTTCACTCCGGGTCCCATAATAAATAACTAAATTTTATGACACTCTTAAGTATAAAATTCCTTTAATTGACGTTTTAAATGCCCGTAAATTTCTATTTGGTATTTCCTTATCTCAAATAATAGCATACTCGTTAAGTCGGACGCGTCGCTTGCTGATGGTGACTCTTCGTCTTCCGATATTCAGGAAGAAGAAAATGAACCCAATGAAAATGATTTGGAAACAACGGACCCAGAGGGTAAAGGGGATCCAAATGCTTCCCTTCATCTTAGCGATTTGACCCGTTCACTCATCCCCAAATATTTTATTCAAGTGGTGAGGATTAGCGTCAACGATTTTCAGCTCAGCGAAAACGCTAGGGATTTAAATGGTTTAATCGGTTATATATATCATAACGGGATTTGAAATTTATAGGGGGGTGGAATCATTTCAATTTTAAGTCATTTACCGAAGGCTATATTTTGACTTTAAAATCTGAACTGACTAGAAATGTATTCCTGACAATTTTTGCCATGGAACTACCTTTCAATCTATATTAATTATATTATATAGATTTTTATATAAATTTAAAAAAAATACGTTCACAATAAAAAATCGTCTGATTTATAGGATAGATGCTCATACCAGTTGAAATACATTTTCGATCAAATGAGATCTTTTAAATTTGAGAAATTTAGAATCCTCACTGATTACATGTTTTAATTATAATTATTTAGTGTACATTGTAAATAAAATACAATTTTTTTTGGTAAGCGTGAGAACAATTTAATATGGCGCATGTGTCTATGACGTTATAGAATCGAATCTATGGGAAGGAGTGGGGAGGGGGACAACCTTTAAAATGTTTTCTTACATAAATAAATCAAAACATGATTTTATAAGAATTGGATTTTTATCTATGGGAGGCTGACAATTAGATTTCTGAAAATGTGGCAAATTATTTTATGTTTAAATATGAATTGCAACTGTAATATATATGACAAAGACAATTGATAAAAAATAATTTTTACATATTTTTTTATTTGTGGAAGGGGCCGCCATTTAAAACATGGGGGTAAATATTCTGATGCCCCTTCCCCCACCCATAGAGGCGCAGTTTTAAAAAGAGAATATTTACGTATTTTTATCCATACACTGATAAATGGCCAGCGCCATTGTTTATTGATGTTACATGGTTTAAGGATTTAGCATCTATTTTAATATGCAATTTAGGGAGAAATGCGCCATATTACAATAATGGCGATAACGATTCCTCGAGGAACAATAGCGGATATATAGCTAACACTCCTTCGAATAAAATTTTGTATACGATTCGTTCCTTAAAGGTTCATAAATATTTTATTTGTCCAAAACTTGATTTTATATTTTATTTGCCCAAAACTTGATTTTATATTTTCATCCAACCATAAATGAAAGGAACCTTTTTAATTACCTTTTTTTAAAATAAAATCAATCTACTCAGCCAGAAATAAAGGATTGGCTATAACTTTAACAGATTAAGGTTAGCTTGATTTGCATAGTATATTATTTTTACAATCTATAAACTCCTCCATTTATTTATTTGATAGAAATCCGGAAGAAAAGATGTTTTTGTTGTCAATAGGTTCCATGAGGATATAGAATGGTTGGATCACTGCCTTTTGACTCAAAATAAAGCGTTAGGCTTGATTGTAAGTAAATTACAATTACTTTTTGTTTCATTAATTTTCCTCTTATTATTTTTTATTTTAAAGAAATTGCAGTGGCAGCGTAAATAACGAATCTGACAGCTATTTTCTCGGGCAATGACGTTTCATTCATTTTGAATGTATATCAATTAAAATCAGCTGATGTCACTTTTTTATAAAAGCTTTGATATATGATATGATATGATAAAATACGGAAACCAAAAATGGCTTGACAACAACTGATTTTTATTCGACGACGCTTCAAAATGCATTTTAATGAATGAATGAAACGTCATTCTAAGTGAGTATTGTATGTCATTGATCAGGTCGGGGTCCTAAATATTTTTTAGTCAGACCAAGCTGGATTCCAATTACGTTTTCTAAATAAGACTTCCGACTCGAATCTTTGGAGAAAAAAGATCGGATGGTCAGACATTTTATTTCTTCTCGAATCATCCCCAACTTGAAAATTGGTCTGCCGCAGAACTCTATATTTGTACTGTATTATATTCATTTCTTTTTTTCTTCTTCTCTTACATCTTTCTTTACCTCGCTCATTATTCTATTCATCCACCAAGCTCATGTGTTCTGTTTCTTATCGGAAGCGTCTGTGGTGGCGTAGGTCGAATTAACTACTTTAGCCCAATTTATTTGAAAATCCTTGAAGTAGGGCATATATCGGGTTTTAGCCAATAAAAACTTGATATTTGCAACATTCGATCGGTCTATAAAACGCAATACCCCATACATCTCTATAATTCTTATAAATATATATATTTAATCGTAGATTCCGCCTATCTCTTCCAAACCCATAGAATCATTTTTCCTTACATCCTACAACGTGAACAATCCACAAAACGCGCCGGAAGGTGATAACGATTACAATTACATTCAAGCCGACCAATCCTTGACCAAATCCCCTTATGACAATTCTATCTTACAGCACATTCATCATTCCTTCAATTACGATTGCTTCAATTTGGAAAGGTTTCTTTCATTTGATAATGATATATTAATTTAACAAACACATAGCCATATTTTGAATTGCAAAAATATAATCTCATTTATCTAACTACTTTAAAAAATAGAATGAATGAATAATTTTTTAAAATTATAATTTATAAAAAAGATACCTGACTCTACTACTTCAGCATCCAGTATTTGGTTCGGACATTACTCTCAAAAGATTTTTAACTGAAAAAAATGTAATAACGAAAATATAATCAATTGTATAATACCATTTTCATCTCTAACCCAGCGACTGGGCTATCATAGGGAAGGTTTAAAGTATTCCCATATTTGACAGTTATTTTTGAGCATGCCTACGTCAAAAATCTTCTCGAATGGATAGTTGATAAGAGAATAAGGCGCTAGTGACTCCACTAGTACCTATTTTTAGATAACTCTGAATTAATTTTAAAGAATTGGAATGACCGAATTCCTAAAAAAGACCAATAAGTCAAATAATTTTGTAAAGACTTTTTTTTCTAGTTTCGATTTTAGAACCCCAAACCATTTATTATGGCCAAACGTTGAATTTTATTTAAAGTGTTTCATTGCGCTTCGTAAGATTTTAAAAATCATTTTTTTTTATAAAAAGGCACCTCAACATGGAAATTTTAAAAAAGGATTTTTCGGAAAATTCGCTTCCGTCGTCAGCGAGATGAGAAAGGTCAATCAAGCGGTAAAATAAATACTTATATATATGTAATTTTTATTTTTTAAAAAATAATGCGAAAATCGCTTTATTTTAAGCCAGTTTTTGAGGTACTCTACTAGTCTCATTAACTCCAAGAATTGATCTGATACTTTATTATTGTATTATCCATTTATTTTGTTTAGATATGTAAATTGCTAAGTTTGAGTTAGAATAAACTGTTAAATTTGATTAATTTTAGATTCCGGCACCTGAGTTGTTGATTTTGGGACTTCACCACTACATAAATTTAATTTAAATGATGAAATTTGAGGTTTAACAAGATATATAATATGATTTAATTAATTGAGTTTCCAGGTATAGGCTTGGGCCAATTTATAAAACTATTACCGTATTAAATTTCTATTTCCCTCAAGAAACATTATAATGAATTATATTATACTGTGTTTATGATTTATAAGGTAATAATTTTTAAGTATTATTTAGAGATGTAAATATTGGGATCAGTCAAAAATGTAAAAGGAAATAATAAATCAGAAAATTACTCATTTTTTATAAAAATAAATAAATCATTTTAAATAAACAAATTTTATGTTATTAAAATTAATAATGTAAGATAATTTTTTATCATAGATTTTTTAAATATTTATATATCATGAAACCTATTCAATTCTGGTCTGTCAATAACCTTACTTACTTTTTCACTCCTCTAAAAATAAAATAAAAGGGTTACATTTTTATACATGTATAAAATACTACAAAATATAATCTAGCATATTCCAACTATAATTTACCAAATAATTCATCCTCGACTCCCTTTCAGGATTTATGCTGGTTGGGGCTTCTGAATAGCCTAAATGTTTTTCTTTAATTTGGAATATAATATGCCCCAGAAATGTTATAAATAGAGTTTAAATTACCAGGTGGGCTTAAGCTATTGATCCTAAATTTGGTATAGAACAAAAGCTCAACTATTTTATAATTTGACAAAAGTAAATTTGCGTTGTTTTCGCAGTTTCTATATTTTATTTAGATGTAATATTCAGATATTTATTAATATAAATTTGCATAATTTATATTGAATAATATTTTAATATAATTTAATTTGGGAAGGAGTATTAAAATTATTAATTCAAGTTAGATAATCTAAGTGTAAATATTTAATTTGTTCTGGTCGGGGCTGATTTGTTTTTTTGAATATTGGATCGGACTGATATTTTTAAAAACCGATTTGATCCGATATTTTTATTGTTTTTGGTTACATTATGATTTGAAGATACAATTAATATCTTTTATTTTATACGTTATTACTTATAATAATAAATTCTTAAATGGAACCAAAATTCAATTTATTTGTGATGCTTAAAAAAATCGAATTATTTTGTAATAAAATTTAATTTTTTTGTTATATCTGCAACAAGAAAATGATTTTAAAATATCTAACGAGTCACATTAAGCTAGTGTTTTCGAATACCTCATGATTTTCGCTAACAATAAATTATTCAAGCTTAGAGATTTTGTCTACATTTGACCAAAAGGTTTGGACATCTATTGTAAAAATTTAGAGACTTAGGTAATAATATTTTGGCTAAACTTGATAGCTCTTTTTAAAAATTTGGTAATCCAGACCGTTTAACAACACTACATTCAGCCTTAAACATTGCTCATATTTTAAATGAGATAATTATTTTTTGAGAAAAAAAAGAAACAAAATACACTTAATAATTCTTGAATTTCTTGATTAGAAAATATTATTTATGGCATTTATTCAAATATGGATGGTAAATAAAATCAATTTTAAATATCGGTATTGGATCGGTGAAAAATTTGTGGATCGCCACAGCCCTACTTATTATATCTGACTATTTGGCAGCCGGCTCATTGTGTACCATATTAGATGAGCTATTTAATGGGAAATTTTATTTTTAGAGTAACGCCGCATTTATAGTAAGCACCGTTGGCTCCAGCGATGCGAAATTATTTGCTACATAATTTACATATTCAAGGTATAATTTATGCGAATTGACAAAATTGCGTCAAAAACATATGCTATGATAGATTCTCAACTGTGATTTCGCTAGACTAATTTCGCATCACTTGAGCATATCGCACTTACTATAAATGCCGTAATGAAAAGGTTACCAAGATCTAACAATGCTCTTCATCGAAATATCATCCAACCACGGATTTATCATAATAATTTTTATGGTTGTGACCATAATATATATCTTTTTTACCCGCTCATTTTATCCCATAATATTTTCTCAGATAAACACATTTAACCAACAACTCGGGGCTTGAGGATTTTTTACGATTATATTTTTGGATATATAATTAATTTTTAACTATCGGATTAGACGTTTGTTAATTCTTCTAAAATATCCACCTTTTTTTTCACCCGAAATAATTCAGGAGTTTGACGAGTTTTTTCAACATGAAAGATTTTGGAATACTGAATATAGCCTATTGCTGAGAGATACATTGCAAGTAAAAAAATAAATATTTATTAATGCATTAATTTTAAAAAAAATTAATTTTTTTAAATTAAGAATTAATTTAATATTCTTTATGCCCTGAGATCTACATTGATCTATAAATATAGCGATTTGCTAGTTTCTCATGAAACCCAAATCAAGGGTCCCCTCGAATATAAATATAAGATTTTCAACTTATCCTGGCTTCAGGCTGCGTTTTAACAAGTCAGGTGGCATCGATTAGAAATCTGCAATAGTAGACCCCGCTTGGCCCGTTTTTTTAAAGAATCGGGTTCGGGCTGGGCCGGGCCTAATATTTTTTAAAAAAATCGGGCCTGGTCGGTTAGAAATTTTTAAATATATCAATTTTATATTGAATTTTTTTTTTAATCGCCGGGGTGGCCTAATGGGTTAGATGTATGCTTAGTAACAGAAGGACGCAGGTTCAATCCTGGTAAGGAGCATAAAAACTTTCAAGTTTTACTTCGATGACTGATGTGTAAAGACATATGGTATGATGAATTTCGGAGCTTAGAGATGACACCCCGATCACCAACAGGCCTGGACAGCCGGGTGCTAAGGATACCTATCCAATAAACAAAATGAAGGAAACAAATGGAAATATGAATATGAAAGCTAGGGCGTTCCCTCCAAGCGACGCACAGTGTGTAGACCTCCATCCTTTGAAAAGTAAAGTAAAGGTCAAAGCAAAGAAGACAAGATTAGCAAGTTTGAATATTGGGACGCTTAAAGGTAAGAAGAGAGAATTGGCACCAATGTTGAACAAGAGAAAAGTTGATAGAGCGTGCATACAAGAGACTAAATGGAAAGTACAGAAGACTTTAATGTTGGAGATGGGTATAAATTGTACAATAACGGAATTCTTAGCAATAAGAACGGTGTCGACATCATCCTCAGTCAAGATCTAACCTCCTCAGTGGTAGAAGTTAATAGGATCTTGATAGACTAATGAAGATAAAACTCTGCATTGGTCAATCAATACTACATATCATTTCAGTATATGCTCCTCAAACGGGTTGCAAGGAAGAAGAGAAAGATGACTTTAGAGCTATCCTTGATGAAGCTGTAATGGAAATCCCTAAGGATGACCTAGTCATAATTGGTGGTGACTTAAATGCGCATGTGGGGAAAGCAAGAGATAGCTACAAAAAGCATCAGGTTTTGGATATGGAGAAAGAAATGATGAAGGAGAGCACATACTGAAATTTGTGCAAGCCTTCGACCTTGCCTTAACCAACACCTACTATAGGAAAAAAGACAGTCATTTAATAACATACGAAAGTGGTACAAGGAAAACACAGATAGATTACATGCTAATCTCTCGCAGAAGATTAAAAGATGTAATAGACTGCAAAGTCATTCCAGGAGAAGATATCGCCGCACAACACAAGCTACTAGTCATGGATTTACACATCTCAAATAAATCCACTCAAAACAAGATAAAACTGGAACCATGAATCAAATGGGGCAAATTAAAAACAATGACAGATGCCTTTGCAATCAATGCAAACATTGAAACAATAGATTCCTCACAAGTTAGTGAAAAAATGTGGACAGACCTTTCATCGAGATTAATAGACACTACCAAATCGACACTAGGCTTGACAAGGGGAGGTAACAAATCATACAAAGAACTATAGTGTACAAACCACTATACAGGAAAAAAAGCCCTTTATAAAATATGGTACAAATCCAAAAACCCAGATGACAAGACAAGATACAAAAATCCAAGAGATTAGCTACAAAGGCGGTGGCTAGGGCCAAATCTATGGCATACGATGACATGTATGAAGAACTACGAACCAAAGAAGGGCAAAATAAAATATACAGATTAGCCAAACAGCGAGAAAAGAACTCTAGGAATATAAACGGAGCTCCGAAAGTAATCAAAAATATAGATGGGAAATTGATAATAAAGGAAAAAGTAATAATGAATAGATGGAAAGAATATTTTCAGGAGCTTCTCAAATTTAATCCCCACATACTACATCTAGACGAACACTCCCCATGTCAAAACCTTGTACAATCTATAATAGAACAAGAAATAATCACATGCCTCAAGCATATGAAAAACAACAAAGCTAGGGGTCCAGACGATATTCCAATAGAAAGCCTTAAATCACTAGGAGATGATGGAATACATCTCCTCACAAATCTTTACAATAAAATACTTCGAAATGAAGATAATTCCCCAAAAATGGAGGCAGAGCTATCTAGTTCCTATCTTCAAAAATAAAGGGGATCCACACAATTGTCAAAATTACAGGTGCATAAAACTAATGTCACACTGTCTAAAACTATACGAAAAAATAATAGAAAAAAGATTAAGAGACATAATCGAAATAGGAGAGACTCAGTTTGGAATTATGCCTGGAAGATCAACAACTGATGCAATCCACGCAATTAGGCAAATGAGTGAAAAGAACAAAAAGTTACACATGGTCTTTCTCAATCTAGAAAATGCCTTCGATGGAATCCCAAGAAAACTTATCTGGTGGGTGCTACGCCACAAAAAGGTTCCCGAAAAATATAAGAATAATACAGGATATGTATATGGGCCATACAACAATGGTCCGTAGCACAACAGGTACTTAAGCAGGCTTCACAATAGCCGAAGGAATTCATCAAGGGTCGGCTCTCAGCCCATTTCTCTTCATTACAGTAATAGATGTATAGCACATCTATACCTTATGATATTTGCAGATGATATTGTGATACTTGCCGAATCCAAGGATGAAATGAAAGAAAGATTAGTGAGTTGGATAAATATCCTAGAAAAGCACGGACTAAAAGTAAATAGAGAAAAGACGGAGTATATGGTGATAGGAGGAGATGAAACAGAGAGTATTGATATAAATGAATGGCAGATAACGGCAATTGTAAGCTGCAAATATTTGGGCTCCACTATACAAACAAACGGCACAATAGAAAAAGAGATCAAGAGTAAAATTAATCAAGGGTGGTTAAAGTGGAGATCTTTATCTGGAGTGCTATTTGACAAAAGAATCACACACAAATTAAAGGGAATAATTTACAGTTCCATAGTACAACCAACTATTCTATATAGTTTGGAAACATGGCCAACCAAAGAATCAGACGAGAGAAGTCTATAAACTATGGAGATGAGAATGCTGAGGATGATTGCTGGGGTAACAAGAAAGGATAAAGTGCGCAGTACAAGAATACTAAGTAATTTAAAGGTAGTGCCCATTAAGACTAAGTTAATGGTAAACAGACTTAGGTGGTATGGGCACACAATGAGAAGGCCTAAGAACTACATAGGAAATAAGGTTGAGAGTTTGGAAGTGATGGGCAAACGTAAAAGAGGTAGGCCAAAACTTCAATGGGGCCATAAAGTTAGAGCCAATATAAAGAAGTATAAATTAGATAAAAGAGATTGTATGAATAACATAAAGTGGAGAGAGATGTTGAAGGAGCTTACCACCAGAAAAGGTGAAAGCTAAAGATAAAAAAAAATTGAATTTTTTAAGTAAAATAAAAATATTCGATTTTAATTATGAAAGCTAGACTCCATATAACATATATCCCTTATTTTGAGTAATTATAAAAATTAATTTCTATATTTAAATAAATTTGGGCCAGGCTAAGCTGATAAATTTTTTTTAAAAAAATTTCGAGTTCGGGCCGGACTGGCAAAACTTTTTAAAAAAATTTCGGACTGAGCTTGAAAAATTAGGCCCAATTCAGATCACTAGCATCGGTATCTAATTACCGCTATAACTTTCTCTTTCAGCCTTTATCTCATCCCACCTAGTCACTCAAATTATCATCAATAATATATCCACTTCTACTGACATATCTCCGGCCTTTACCTATTGGGACAGCAACAGTTTACCCCCCCCCCCCCTCCTGTCCAGCCTCCATTCAAAATGATTGGGATGCCCCTTTGATTGCCTGATCCATTGAATAAAATTGAGTAGGCTCTTCGAGGAAAACCCAAATAACATAATATTAAATGCAAACTCTGGCTAGGAATGGTTCGGAGCCATCCAGTTCCAGACCTGGGAACAACTAATCATATCCATAGCTCTTCTCCTTGGCTGTAATGCAGTTGTATCCTCCATTTTCTTCTATTGTGGCCAGTCCATCGATTCAAATGCCTACCATCCCTTGCACTTAAAGTTTTCCTGCCGACGTCAACCTTGTCATAAATTCATTAACAGTGGGTTTTTCAAATGAAACGCCCTATGCCAGCATGGTATATCCCATCCCCTGGACGAAAAGTCTCTCACTGGGGGCTACACTTATATCGATTTTGCATTGAAGACTAACCTCTCATTTTTTGCCATCGAAAAGGCAGAAGTCCTTAAAAAAATCAAATACGTTGGCCTTACAAACACAGTCTTTATAACAATAGTCACCATTACCTTAGGCATGTTCGAAAATGATAGCATTAATTTCATAAAACCATAGGCGAAAAAAAGAGATAGATTTCAGGCATAGACTGCTCAATTCCCAATTTTATAAGGTTATAAAAACATCGCTCATTTGGTAGCTATTTGCAAAGATACAACATTCATTTTAATAAGGTGTTTATAATGACTTTAACATTAAATATTTCATTGTTTATTTTTTATTTAGATCGTATATAAATTGCAAGATATAATATAAAAAGAATGAATTATTTTTTAAAAATTCATATTTTAATGAATGTAGAAAATTAAATATATATATATATATATATTAAACAATTTTTATAATAATGATTTATAATAAGAAAATTAAGTCAAAGAAATTTTCGCAAGATAGAACATTTAAAAAATTGACGTATATTTTTTAAACAAAAATAGCGGCTTAATTTACAACAGAATAGGAATATATTTTATAATATAAAATGACATAAATTTAAAATTTATGTAAAAGGTTTTTTTGTTCAGTAAAAATAAGGTTGTATCTTTTCCATATGTGTAAGCATTTATTTATATATTTTTGTTTTTACTAATAATACATTCTTAAATTTTCTTAAACCTTTAACAATCTTTATATAATGAAAATCAAGGTACCTTTGAATTATAATCAAGGTATCTTTGAATTATAATATATAATATCATGATTAAAAATATAATTCTATAATTTTAATTAATATTATTTTTTAATTTACGGACATAATGTTAATATATCTGACTTTTTTCTACTATTTTTATTCCTAACTTTATTATTAAATAGAATAGGATACAGCTTTGGATTTATTATTTTATTTTTTAAAATTATTTAAGTTTCCATTTAACAATAAAGCTCTTTTAAGTAAAATGGGCCCATGCAGTTAAAAGACAATTTTTTAAACCAAAAAATACTCAATCTTTTTATTGCACATATTTCAAATGTTTTATCCAACATCTACAAATTAACATATTTTAATTTATCAATTAAATAAATGTGTTTTTACAGGATTTTTAAATTCTCCCATTAACAAAATATTTGCAAGCTAAATCTAAATGGCCTATATATGTGGTAATTTCAATGGAAGAAATAAGTTCCTTTATTAATTCAAAAAATAACTCGCTAAAAAATGATATAAAGTTAAAAAAATAACACTTTTCCGGAAAAAATACATTGCTGCTAACACATAATATTTTCTTTAATTATTAATTTAAATGAATTAAAGCATTAATATGAGTAAAAATATATTTTAATTAATATTTTTTTTTAACATACATATTTTTTACTATTTTTTAATTTAGAGATATAATGTTTGTTACATATTCGTAACAATTTATTTTTTTATTGTGTTAAACGTTAATATGCTTGTCCATTTAAATAATGGTGGTTTAAGGCGATAATGTTAATCGTGTGATATATTAAATTAAACTTTGATATTATTATGTAAATTGAACATATTAAACGTTATTTTATATGATATATACCATTTTTCAGAAAAAGTATAACGATTAAATATTTTATTTTGTTTCTTAATTTATATGAAAGATATTTAGCCATATTCTTTTTTGTTAAATAGTTTAATAATAAAGAAAAAATACATTTTGATAAAAAAAACTACTATCGACGACAAGACATTCTAAAATACTATTACCGACAACAATCGATAATTATTATCATTGCAAGCCCCCACCCCCCACTTGCAATAATGTTAATATCTCTGACTTCCTTTTTTCTATTATTTTTATTCCTGATTACTTTATTATTATAAAAAATAGGATGTGGCTTTGAATCAAAATGATTATCATTTTTTAAAAATTATCTAGGTTCCCAATTAATAATAAAAAGTAAGTGCACTCATGCAGTTAAAAGACACTTTTTTAAACAGCATATGCTAGATCAGGAATTAGGATCCCTTATTAATTAAACTCTAATTCCTAGATATAAAAATATTTTATTTTATCATTTAGGAAAGCTTAAATTTAAAAATAAATATGATAATTAAATTAATTAAAAATATAATTAGTCTTAGGCCAATAATTTTTTTTCATTAAAACAATTTACTTTTTTATGGAGTTATGCTTTTATGAATTATTTGGGTTTTTTTTAATCTTTCATTTTGTAATTTATCAATTCATCTATTCTTCCAAAAAAATTAAAAAATTTTTACATGAATTTTAAATTGATATCATTTTATATTATAAAACTAATATTGTTATATAAAATGTACAAATTAAATTTTTAAAAATGCTCCATTTTTAAAAATCCTCCATTTTGCGGAAATTTTCTTATTACTTTCCTTATTAATATATTTTATGAATTACCTCAGAATTAGGAATATCATAAGTATCTTTATTAAATAAAACAACGCTAAAATTCCAATAACATAATTTTGAAAAAAAATTATATTGATTAGTGTAAAAAATTATCATTTATATAGTATTTTAAATTATTTAACAAGACAAAAATTAATATGTCAATTTAATATCTACAAGAAAATAAATTAACTTTTATAATTATCGATAATTAAAATATTTGATTTATAGCCTCAAAATAAAATACAAACAAGATAATATAATATCATAAATAAAAGACCATTAAAATATAAAGTAGAATATATATAATATTACTACATATATTATTAAAATTGTTTAATATATAATATATATATATATAATTAATTTTTTACATTCATTTATATATGAATTTTTAAACAATGGTTAATTATTTTTATATTATATCTTTTTGAAAAATTATATATCTTGCTATATTTTCAGTGTTGTGATGATTTAATGAAACATATTGACGATTAAATTAAAACCCATCCATATAAAATTATAATCTTTGCAAAAGTAAATAAAATATAAACAAAGCATTATTGAAATTTCTTTTATTATTCCTGTTATTTTATTTTGCAAAGATTATAATTTTATATGGATGGGCTTTAATTTAATCGTCAATATGTTTCATTAAATCATCACAACACTGTATGTACGTATAAAATAAAATTTTAAAAAAAATCATAAATACATGAAATATTTATAACCTTAAAGTCATTATAAACATAGACTTATTAAAATAAAGTTGTTTCTTTGCAAATGGCGATTAGTTTAGGCATGTTTTTTAATAGTTGAGATTATAGACTTATATTAATATATATGTCTATAATTACAGGTAATCTCAACAAAATATTTTACTTTAGTCACCTCACCAGATTTCTCTCTAAATCTGCCGATCCAATTTCCTAAGTATTCAATACTCTAGAGTGACATTCCCCCCCCCCCCCTTCCACCTTTTAAATTCTTTTTTAATATTTTTGTATTATATTTAAAAATATTTCCATATAATTTTAAATATATTCTTATTTGCTTTTTTAAATATATTTTGATGTCGTTTATATTGTATCTTATTTTTTAATTTGAAACCGTTTTTTTAAATTATTTGAAAATTAAAAATTTTTTAAATATAAATAATAATTTTATTTTATAAAATAGGCATTTAGCAAGAAAGTCGAAGCCATATACCGTAACCCTATACATACATATTTATATAACTATGACAATTTAAAAAGAAAACAACAAATTTACTTTATTATTATCAGTCAAACTTCATAAATAAAGATATTTACATTAATATTATTTTATATATGTCCTATTTGGATATAAAGTTCTTTAATATTAACTGAAGGGTAATTTTTTAATTTTAAAAATCCGATTTGATCGGAAATGTATAACACCATATATAGATGACCCACGCCAAATTTCGAATTTTTTTGTACGAATTTTAGAACTACCCTTTAATTTATGTGAATTGATTTTTTTTAAAAATTTAAATTAAAAATGGCGAAAGTTGTTAGGAACCTATTAGTGTAGGTACACCACACATGCCGGATTTAAAAAATTTAAAAATCTTTCTCTGTACATGGATTCCATATCTCAATCATTGATTTATATATACTACTAGATTGGCGATTTATATTAGTCCTCATAAGAGTCAACTGTAATGCCATTTTTAATTTGCGTGTCTATTAAATGACATTATACAATTAATGGGCGTGCACACCACAAAATAGCGCTACAGCTGACTCCTGTATAAGGACATTTTTAATTAATGTTCATTAATCTATTAATATATATACACCCAATACGACATATATAACTGAGTTTAAATTTTTTTAAATTTTTACATCTTAGAGAATCCTCGAATTTTTTTGCACAAAAAAAAGAAAAACTGTTTAAAATACAACTATTTATTTATTTTTGTAAAGAAAGAATTGTAATTAAATTATTGAATTAAATTTAATATTTGCGAATTTCCTTAAAAAAATTTTTATAATTGTATTTTGACAATTTAGACTGAAATCCAAATATCATCATAGTTCATTATTTTAGATTTCATGACATCTATTTTATTCATATTATGTTCAACATATAACGTTTAGAGTTGGCCCAAGTATCCGGACATTTTTCCACCGCTCTCTCTATGGCTCATTGCAACGGACCCAGTATTTACCTCGATTTTAATCAGTAAATAATATACAGAAGCAAACGATATCTGAATTATTCTCCCTCTTTTTTTGTTGACCAATTTCAAAAGAAAAATTGATGAACCCCCTTTACTAGAGATTTGCTAATACCGGCCTCGAAAAAGCTGATCCTCTTATGAGTTAATTATAAGATTTATTTTTTTAATAAACCCTTGATTAAAAAAAAGTTTTAACCACATACCACACCCAAGTCCTGCGTTGCTCAAAAAAGTTCGGCCTACCATTTTAATCTGATTAAAAATAGCTAACTCAATATTTTGGCAAGAAAAATATTGCCTAAGCCTCGAGATTTCGTTATCCAAATCTTCAGGCTTGCTTAATATTTTTCTGGCTAAATAGTGAGTTAGTCGTTTTTAAAAATCGGCTCAAATATAGCGATTTTGCATTACTAGTTTGGAGTATATTTTTAAAAACTTCATTTTTTCGGGCCTGTTTAGCAAATTCTCTCTAACCTTAAAAGCGTCTCATTTCTTTTTTTTTAAATTTAATTTACTTATATTTTAGGACTTTGCAAAATGTGGGAAATCTTTTCGAGAATCTTAAAGTACTTATCTATTTATTTATTTCAAAAAAATACATAATTTAAATTTAAACACTTTATTTTTCATTAAGAAATTTTTAAACCAATTTTTTTAAGCAAAAGAATGAAGAATTACAGGCCTACTATCAACTCACGCTAGGCTTCGAACTCGATTTTTATTGTAGATATTTAGATTCGCACAAAGTAAAAACCATTTTTAAAATCAGTAAAATAACACGCTATAAATATTACTCTGCATGAAAAAAAAATCTTTTTACTTTTTTTGCAGAATAATTAAGTAATAGCGTTACTTTATAACATTGCTTGTATATCATAAACTTATTATTTAAAAAAAATAATATCAGGACACATTGAATAGAAGAAACTGTTTGTTACTCGAATACGAAAATAACAAAAAATTATACGAAAAGGCCAAACCAAACAAGAAAGAAATGGTTGTTTTTTATATTTAATTAAATTTTTAAAAGATATTGGAAAACGATATATATATATATTATATATCATTCATAATTGAAATTTTTATGATTATTTTAGGCCAGACAGGTGAAGATATTGGCTGAAAAAACGCTGCAAGAATGCTCGGATACCGCCAAAAAAGAGGTTTATAATTTTAAGCATTTTTATAGGTTCACTGAAAAGCGTATTTCAGCTTAATTTCTTCCCCTTATAAAATTTAAAACACTTTACACATCATTTTTTCCCCCCATTTTAAAAATTAATGGCGTTAGATGAGTTATAAAAAAGTTTAACTAATTTAGTATATTATACTAAAAACCATTAATGCGCATAATCTGTAGAGAGGGAAGATGATTGGGTGAGATATATTTGAATTAAGAAAATAACCACCATTAGGAATTCATATAAATTACGTGATTGTTACTTTTTAGTTCCCAAACCAACTTATTAAGAATAATATTTTAAAATTGTTTATATATATTTTTTTGCATACATTATCCAAAGTTCAATCGATTTCACAATGACCAATCAGCCCAAATTCTGCGAAGCATATATAATTATGCCAATGCGAACCTCCAAAAATCAAAAGACATTTACGAGATTATTTCCTTTTCCCTTAATCAATTGCAAGCCAGTTTATAATCAAAAGATATTATACATCTTAATTATATATGTATTTGAATTATAAGCGAAAAACGAAACAAACTGAATTGTTTTTTTTAAAGTTCGACAAATATTTTTAACATTTTTTTTTAAATATTAAAATGCCCAACAATGTATCAATTATTTAAAAAAATATATATTTTTTTTCCTTAAAAATAATTACAAATTATAACTTAAATTTAAAATAATAACCTTATAAATCACATTTATACAAATAGTATAATATATATATACAATATATATTTTAATAAGAAAATCATATCAAGTTTTTACTATTTGGTTTTTTTATAAATATAACCCCTCCGTTCTCTCAAATATTAAATTGAAACAACTTATGATCAGATTGTGATTATGGTGGAATTAAAATTTAATATTTTCCCAATATTCTCATTTTTATAACCGATTATTATTATATATTTATTAAATATAAGCCAACATAAATAAGCTCTTTGTTTTAAGAGATTTAATTATTTCATTTAAAAATTTTTTTTTATTAATAAATATATTTTGTTTTAACTTCATAAAATTCTAATGCTTATTATATTTACTTTTTATATTATTTAAATTTAAAAAAAACAAAGTTAAGCAAAACAAATAAAATTGTTCATATTTTTAAAATATCATCCAATATATACGTTTAAACTCCCTAAAATGTTTAGTTTCCTGAAGCAAGAATTTAGATTTATAGAAAACACAAAGGATTTACTTTTAGACTTAGAGCAATCATGTCATTCTAGTCTCCATAGGTAATACTTCTCTAAGGTCAGCCGTAGGGACAACCCTGATTACACATAGTATCCGTTTCTCTATCACGTGGTAGGAGGTTTGACGCAATAATTTTAGTAATTTTATCTCATTTCATATGGATGTGTCTAATTTCAATTTTATGATTTCGGGCGTGGGCTTAAAATATAAAATTGGCCATGGGTCCAATGCTTAAATATATACTTGTGGTTGCTAACAACAGACGCTACACTGTGAATCAAATTATAGATGATTAATATTAGTGTTGCTAAACGGCTCGATTGAGCCGATTTTTAAAAACGGCTAAATTAATATTTTAGCCAAATAAAATTAAGAATCTAGGAAAACGCACCTAACACGAGATTTCGCTAATAAATGAAATGTAATTATCATCTTTAAAATACATGCTATATATATAGTATTTTTAAAAGTATTTGAATAATAAAATTAAATAAGAAAAATAAAAGTAATAACCTTTCACAAAAATGACGTTTTCGTTAAACAAATTAATTTAAATAAAATATTAGTGAACACGATATTTTTGTCAAACAAATTAGTTTAAATAATATATTTGTGTAAATGATATTTATGTCGAACCAATTAATTTAAATAATATATAAGTGATGAGATTTTTGTCGAACAAATTAATTTAAATAATATATTAGTTAAAATGATATTTTTGTCGAACAAATTAATTGAAATAATAAATTAGTGAAAATGATGTTTTTTGTATAACAAATTAATAATTAATATATTACTGAAAATAATAATATTCAATTATTTCATTCGTAACATAACACATAATAAAGGATATAAAAATTCAATAAATTCGCAAAATATTTTCTATAAAGAAATCAAAATTAGTGTTGTTCGATTTTAGCAGATTTTTTAAAACTAATAACTCAATATTTTATTCACAAAAATATTATGCAAGTCTGGATATTTTGCTCATAGATGGCACAACTGTTTGGACATGTATTAGAAAAATCTCGAGACTTAGACAAAATTTCTGACTAAAATATTGGGTTTGCCGTTTTAAATCGAGATGTTTAACAACACTAATTATCATTGGACCTAATTCTTCTAATATCTCAATTATAGAACAAAAAAGATTCATGGATCATTATTTTTAAGGATCGATGTCCGCTTAAGCCCTATCTAATTGCATATATTTATAATAATGGATAAAATAAATGATAAAACCGGGTAAATTTTCCTCAGTACATTAGCCCAATTTGTGAGGTCCGAATTAAAAACCAGATCGCGACTGTCCTACCATGCCTAATATAATTTATGGTGGTTAAGGGTTAATATAATAAAAATTGCAGTTGATATAGGCATTTGAAGAGTAATAATGAGTTTAAAAAATGTATTTTATTTTTTGAAATATGTATAAGTGCAAAATATGATAGTAGTCTAACTGAAGGAAATTGCTTTTGCTACTATGCCAATTTATTTAATATTATTAGTCTGACATGTAAGATTTGACAGATCACCAATGAAAAATTAAATTATTAAACTTTTATATTGGGGGGGGGGGGTATGTTTTCCCGGTTGAATCTTTAAAATGGAAATGTGAATTAAAAGTAGTGTATTGTTATGACTATTTGTTCAAACTTTTTTGTCTAAGCTGCTTTTATTTTGTATGGCTACTTACGTTTTTTGTTACAACTACTTCTTTCTGCACGATAAATGAGGGAAAAATTAACCTATCAAATCCCATCCCCCCACCCACAAACACAAAATCAAAAATTTTATTTGCAAATTTGTCTGTTTTTGTAAGTAACTTTTAAGCATATCTCTCCCAAAAATGTATACAAAGAAGATCTTGAAATAAAAATTAGTAAAAGTTAATAACTTTTAAAAATAAAGGCTATAATTCAAAATTTTTATAAAAAAAACTCAAAATTATTTTTATAAAAATCGAATATAGCCAAATTCCTACAATAATTGGATTTCAAAGACCTTCAATAAAATTTATGGAAAAAAAGCCCACCTTATAGTGCCCCTCCCCTCAAGCAGAATCTTGGATACGCCTATGGATTATTCATAATCCTAGTCTAAACCAAATTTTCTACGAATTTTTTCTCAAATTGATATTCGTTTATTTAAATACACCAGATAATTTAGTAGGTACTTGAACGTTCGATAAAATACTTTTATGTTTAAATTATACAAGAGATTTCAAAAAATTTAGCCTCATTTTATTCCCACTAGTCTGAATTAAATTTTAGTAAGGTATTTTGGATATTTTCATTGATGACATTAATTAAAAAATTTCTAAAATTATAAGGAGTTCATATCAACCTATACGCCGAAAAAAGTATCGGAGGCCGGTTAAGATTTTTTAAAATCGAATCGACGGCTGGCGGCACGTTTTTTCAGTCACAGTCATTATGGGCAGCATTAAATATACATTAATTAAATCATTAATTTTAAATTACTAATTTAATTTTTTTTTAAGAATAAAAATCATGTATCATGTATAAAAATAATTTTATTCAAATTTGTCCGACATAAGGATAATCAACATCAACCGATAAAGGAAACCCTAATCAGCTAGTTGCTGGAACATAAGGTAGCTAGCATGGAAGGATTCAGAAGTTCGATTTTATTTTATCTTCAAATATTTATAAAATTCATATCCTGTTGACAGAATTTTCCGATTAAAATATGGCCTTCATTCTTGAAGTACTTTAAAATCATAATTCCTGATTTTTGTAGAATGTTTATTTTCTAATCTTGTCAAATATTTGATATTTCCTCTTTGTTTCCAATCTCTATATTTACTAATCTAATATCAACTCTTATAAGTTTAAGATGTTAAATAAGAAATTCGGACGATGAACAATTTTGCTCTAATATGTATTTTGACAAAATTTTTAATATTTGAAATCTTAGTTCTAATGGAGAAACTAATATTTAGGTATAATTTTTTGAAATAAAAAATTAAATTAAAATTATATAATATTAGAATAAGGGACAAAAATTTCCCGGATAAAAAAATAACCTCGGACGGACTATAAATCGGATAAAAAATAACCCCCCAATTTTAAAAATTGATTTAAATTTAAAAGGGAGGATATTTAAAAAAATGTTAACTTTTTTATTTTTTAAATTAGGGTATCTTTGTCCAGTGTCCCCCCCACGGTAAAGATCTGCAAAAGTAGGCCCGGCCCGTACCCGTCGGGCCGGGCCTATTTTTAAAAAAAATTGGGTTGGGTCGGGCCTAATATATTTACAGAACGGGCCGGGTCGGGCCTTAGAATCTTTTTTAAATATTTCTAAATTTATCAAATTTATGTTGAATTTTTTATGTAAAATAAAATATTTTATTTTATTTATAGAAACTAGATGCCATATAACATATATCGTTTATTTTAAATTATTATAAAAATTAATTTCTATATTTAAATAAATTCGGGCCAGGCCGGCAAATTAAATAAATTTTGGGTTGGAACCGGGTCAGGCAAAACTTTTTAAAAAAAATTTGGACCGGGCCGGGCTTGGAAAATTAGACCCGATGCAGATCACTATCCCACAGTATCTGTCCGTGATTCATTAAAATATTTGAATTTTATTTGAAATTACATTTTTTTTGAGAAATTCTACTTGTAGTTTGAATATAAAAATATTTAATTGGACATAAAGGTACGTACCAAATTAGTTTGGTAAGTTTGAAATCAACGAATCAAATTGAAGAGAAAAAATTCTTGACTAATATTTAATAGAGCTAATTATACCCAATTCCTAATAACGATTTTTTGAAAGAAGAGATTCCTAATAAAACGTAGGGAGTAGGAATTCCTTAGTTTCATTATCCCAAAACAACAAATATAAATAAATTTATTTAGCAATTTTTTTAATTTTAATATAATTTATTGATTAACTTAATTTTTTAATCATGATTATCTATTTTTAATAACCAAAAAGATAAAAAGTAAATATTCGCTATAGTATTTTATTTTGAAGGTAACGAACAATGTATCTTTTTTATTTTGAAGAGTAACGAAAATGAAACGACGGTACATGTTAAAAGCATTGTTTATGTCGTTAATTATTGAGTATAAAATTATAAAACAGATCAATAAATTTCAAACCTCGTTTATTTCCCTCTCTTCTTTTTCTTTATCGAGAAAGATGGAAAAATAATATAATATTTAATTATATATAAAAATTACTAATTTGGATTGTAAAATAAAATAAAATTTTAATGAATATTATAAATTGTTTATTGGGCAAAAAAATAAATAATTAGATTAATGCAGAATAATTTTAAGGTATATTGTTAAAAATAATTGAAGATTTTTAATTGGAAAGGAACAAAATTTTATTCTTTCATCCCAAGAATAAACATACAATTTAATATTAAACAATTATTTAGTTATCTTATAATTTTTTAACTATAAAAATGGTAAATCAAACACTTCTACCGACCTGTGTTAAATATGGAAGCATTGATTTATTCCCAAATAACCCAATCAACAATGCAAACGTAGCTATTTCTTTAATCCTATTTTTTCTTGGAATTGTAGGAAATTCTGTGGGTGCCTACTTAGCCTCTTATTCACCCTTTATTAATTATAGAAATCAAAAGACATCACTTACCACCCCTTCAAAATTATCCCAGAATCAATATTTGCTCGTTTGGTTTTTCTTGGCCAATTTATTGAATACTCTTCTCATGTTAATCTCTCCGATAGCTAAGCTC